GCCGCCCCTCAAGGCAATCCCATCTGCGAAACCGCCAGTGATTTGGTACAATCCGACTAATCTACCTCCACGCACGNCTAATGTCCTTACCACGGGATCTCGCACAACGCTCCTGCTGCTGCTTCTCACCACAGCTGAACTCTGAAGATCATCGGGCTCCTCCGGAGGATGCATTTCTAGAATGTTGGTATGCCCTTGTTGTGTGACCTCCAGAGTCCAAAGTGTTGTTAACGGCATGTATTATCGTAGGGGGACATGAGGGAGAAGGAGGGAGGAAGAGTGCCAGGCCCAAAGCCAGTCGAAAAGGGGGCCCGCAACTCGTATCTCAAGGTCTCTAGCCGCCCCTCAAGGCAATCCCATCTGCGAAACCGCCAGTGATTTGGTACAATCCGACTAATCTACCTCCACGCACGAACAACGTACTCGCCCGACGCCGATGCTCTACTGCACGTCTCTTAGTTGTCACCCCTCGCAGCCAGTTCAGCGATCACCGCAAGCCACCGCAAGGGAATTGCTACAACTGCAACATGGGGTCCTTTCACATGGAGGGTCATGTTCGAGTAATTCTATTTACGACACCGGTGTCGTAATTCTTATTTACGACACCGGTGTCGTAAATAGAATTACCCGTCATGTTCGCTATGTCCTGGACCGCGGCACGAACGTCGTGGCACACACTTTCAAAAGTCCAACGAACAAGAGCGAGGGGTGTATGCCGTCACGTCGGTGCTCCCGAGCTAGCAGAGAGGACAAGTTGTAGTTGTACACGAGCCGCTCGTGTACAACGAGGCTCGCGTACAACGACAGCTTCGTCCTCTGCTAGCTCCGGAGAACCGGCGTGACGGCACCCACCTCTCGCTCTTGCCAGTCGGACTTTTAAAAGTGTGCCCCACGGCCTTCTAGACGAGGCCCAGGACGTAGCGGACAGGANCACTTGGAGGGGAATACCAACAGGATACCGCAGAGATATGCTCAGAAAAGAGGCACAACAGCATCATCCCGTTTTTTGAGCATATCTCTGCAACCACTGACCGGATTTCGCCCCCAAAACGCTTGGGTGATAGCCACGAGTCATATCTACCCAACGCAATTGGTTTGGTGCCAATCAGAGCTCTGTGGGCTGAG